ACCGCTTGTTTGGCTTGTCAAAGTAGTTCTAATTTGCTTGTTTGTAGTTTTTGTGCTTTGCTTAAAGCTTTACTGTTTCGTCTTTTTTTAATTTTATTTTATTTTCTAAGTAATGCGTGATATAATTTAATTTAAAATTAAAAAGGACGACAATTTGCAAGCAACTTCTATAAAATTAAAAAAAAATATTCGCAATAAAAAATACAGGGTGATTGTTCAAGAGTTCCAGATAAACGTTTCTTGAAAACTATAAGAAATTAAAATCTAAACATTTGTGCAAATTTTAAAAGACACCTATATAAATTGATTTTTATGCCAAATTTGGTTATACCGGACCTACTTATTTTTATGGCATTATTTTCGTTATATTGAGATGAGTCTACCTACAAATTTTTAATTTTTTATACCGAGTATTTATGGAGTTTTGGCCAAGAACAAATTTAGGCGAAATTCATAAAACACCCTGTATAACCGTGAATTGTGGATTTGTAATTGTATCCATAAATTTTAAAATAAAAAAATGTAATAAAACTTGCATGAAGATATGCAGTATGTTCCCCTAAGTTGGAATCATATGGAAAACTTTTTTATTAATAATTTTAGGAAAAAAAGATATTCTTCATAAAAAGTTCTGCATTATCTAAAACCTAGAATGCAGTCATCAAATATCAAATTTTTTCAGTGGTATACGAGGTTTGTCAAAAAATATGAGTTTTACTCAAGAGTAAAGTACCTTTAAATTTGGCAATATCGAAAAATGTTACCAAAAAAAGTTGATCAGAATTAAAAATTACGTTTAAATATGCAAGTACGTCCATTTACATTAATAAAATTATTTTTAAAGCGTATGTCTACAATAATGCAAATTTAACTGTAGTTACATGTAATCAGTGGCGGATCGTCGTAATTTAAAATGGGTGTTCACTTTTTCCAATAATTTTATCATTTGTAAGTTAGGTTCAAAATCTTGTACAAATGTAGTTATTATTATCAATATCATACTGTTTTTAAGCACTGCAACTATTAATAAATGAATATTTTAGTTAGTGTAATATTTGTTTTTAATACGTTGAAAACCATCTATAAACATTATTAGTTAGTCAACTGACTTTTCTTCATATTTTGAGATTATTTTTAAATCCACATTGATTTTTGTGTAAAAAATATTATTACATAAAACTTTACCTACCATTTTTTCAGTTTTTATTGTAAATTTAATCATTTTCACTATTTGTCACATATGTTAAATAAAATAATATATTTTTTAAATACTCTTTATTGGCAAAAAACAAGTGAACTAAAATGTGTATTTTATAATATCAGTCCATCACAATATATAATATTACACAGATTCAAACTAGAATGATATATAATGCTAGGCATTCTAAATTATAATTTTCACAGCTTAACAGACCCTCTTAACCCCCATTTTCAATCATTTTCAGAATCAATAGGCTTATCTCTTCTTATAGAGTTTCATTTTTACTAAACATTTCATGTTGATATCATTTTTGATGTATGATTTCTACACTAGTGGAAAAAATTAAGGGATCAAAAAAAAATCTCGATTTTTGCGATTTTTCGAGTGGCTATATCTTTGGTAAAAATGGTCGTACGTGAATGAAAAAAAAAAAAGAAATTTGAAGCTTGAAGTGTCTAGTTTATGGATTTTGCGATAAAAAAAAATTCCAACCAACAATCCGCACAAAATCCTGATGAATATCATGGATAGAAAAAACGCGATCCTTCAATTTCTTCAAAAATTCACTCGTATGAAACTATGAAACAATGAAACGACTTGATGGATCAGGATGAAATTTTGTAGGGCTTTCGGAGGAACAATGGCCTTTAAGATGCACACTCAACATTATTCATTTTCCCAATATTCTCAATGTGGCACGTGATTTTCTAAAAAACCTCAAAAATACCTGTTTTCCGAAATTCTTCAAAGTTATGCTAGTGATGAAAAAACAATTTTCTCGTCAAAGAACCTTGTAGAGAATGAATCGAAGTGTCCGAAACCCCCCTTCCATTTTCTGAGCGGCAATTGGTTCCTGAGATATTGACGAGAGAAGAGGAAGTGACTCATTTTCGTTCATTTTCTGATAACTCAGCAAGGAAGGGTCATCTCGAGTCCATAAAAGAAACGAATTGAAGTTAACTGAACCACCTATCCAATGCATATAGTGGTTATGCCGAGAAACTTTTTTTCAAGTCCGTACACTAAAAATTAAAAAAAAAATTCTATTCATGATATTCATCAGCATTTTGTGTTAATTGTTGGTTGGAAATTTTTTTTATCGCAAGGTCAATAAACTAGACACTTCAAGCATCAAATTGCTTTTCTTTTCATTCACGTATGACCATTTTTATCAAAGATACAGCCATTAAAAAATCGCTAAAATCGAAAATTTTTTTTGGTCCCTTAACTTATTCCACTAGTGTATTTTTTATTTCACTCCCCCTTTACCCCCCATTTTTTTAAATCTATTGTTTTTGT